CACAGCATGGCACGGTATGGAATGGCATGGAACAGCATGGCATGACACAGTATAACCCTGAATGGCATGGCATGGCACAGCATGGAATGGAACGGCATGGTACGCATGGCACAGCGCGGTACAGCATGACATGGAATGACACATCACCAGGGCACATCACCCTCACACTTTCAGGAGTGCCACCCAGTGACACGAGCATCTCAGAGCCGCTTTGTTCTCACCCTGGTCAAGCATCCCACAGCAGAGCAGGGGGTTCATTAATTTATCTTTTAATTCCCCAGCATCCCCTGCCCCACAAGCCAGTGGGTCCCCATCCTGCTCAGGACCCCAGGCAGGAGCAGGTGCAGCCCTGCCAGGGTGCAGCACCCACTGCCCCAGCACAGACCCCCCCGGAACCTGCCGGACCCTCATCCCCGCCCAGAGACCCCCACCCACAGGTGTGGTGGGCAGTGGGTGCCCACCTGGGTGCAGGGCTGGATGTGCTGGCGCTGGCTCTGCCCAGCACAGTTGGTTATCCTTACATTTGGCATCAGCCACTTCCATTGGGCTCCATAGGGGAGGGAGAGAGAAAAGGAAAACTCAGCTCAGGGCGATTTAATAAGTTCAGCGTTACGAGCTGGGGAAAAGCTGTGGAACACACAAGTGGTAACGCAGGATTAATCTTTCCTTTAGTCTTGGGAATTATGTTTTCATTAATCCTAATTTTTCCAGATGTTTCACTCCTTATACCATGCTCTTCAAAGCCTCTGTGGCTGCAAATTCTAATGAAGCCATGAGAACATTTTAAAGAGAAAGATTCAAAGCTTAAATTGCTTCCTTTTTTTTTTTTTTTTCTTGGTTTTTGTTTTTTTTTTCCTTTTCTTTTTTTTCTTTTTTTTTCTTTTTTTTTTTTTTTTTTTTTTTTTGCCTCCCTCTTTTCTCCCCCCCCCTCACTCCCCCAGTTGGGCTGTCGGGGAGTTGCATGCGTGTGCGGTCCCAGCGCCTCCACATGTTGTGTTACACAATGTGCTAACAAGATGGAGAAGGCCACTCGGTCCGCGTGATGCCGGGGTGACGTCTGTTGGGCTTTGTGTCCCCCCGCTTCCCCCCCGGTAGGACCTGGCTGTGAGGGGCTGAGGAGAGGGCGGAGGGGGGGTTTGGCCCCCTGCCCACCACATGACAGCCGGCACCGGGGCTCACAGGGTCACAGCTGGTCCGGAGCTCTTAAAACACTCGCGGTGCTCGCTCCCGGCTCTCTCGGGCACCAAGCGGGCGGCTATGTAGGACCTACGGAGGGGATGGAACAGAGCTGGAGCTCTGCAGGAGCAAGCTGGCAGGATCTTTAGGGAATGGAGAATTTTGGGGTGCTCCAGGCTGGAGGGAGCAGTGGGTTGAAGATGATGCCATGGCTGGGGGTGCCATTGGCACTCCCTTCCTATCACACAGTACTGCCCTGCAGGGATGAAGCTGGAAATCCTGATCCCTCCTGCCCATCAGCGGGTCCCCAGCACCCTTCTGGGTGCCAGTGCGTCACCACGGGGTGGGAGCACCCAGCCACTCCATTGCCATGGTGGCATTCCAAAGCCCGGCACCCCTTCAGGCTTCTCCATCCATCCCCAGCCTGGCACGGCCACAGGATCCGGCCGCCACCGCCCGGCATCCCCTCCTCACCGGGAGCCCTCGTCTGACGCAGGAGGTCAGACAAGATGATCGTAACAATCCTCTTGGTCTCCAGCACCCGGGATTGAGATCCATGTACTTATATGGCCTGAAGAACGCAGTGGGAGCATGACCAACGTCTGGAAATCCAGATATGACTAGATCCCTTCATTAGTAATTTCTTGTACATGACTTTCTAGACCATGGGGATTTGTTAAATTTGCAGGAGTGTTTCTCACAGTGCCATGGACTGGCTGCTGCCAGCATATATTGGCTCGGATCTGTCAGATCCTGTTGCCTTATATGACCCTCGGTTAATTCAGCTTTTCTTTGTATCCAACCCTCAGCAGGGAACTCCTCCAGCAGTCCCAGCGTGGATCCTGCTAAAATGGTTCCCCAGTCCTCCTGCCATAAAACAACTGCCCCCCCAGTGAAAGGGGGATGTGGGGGGTGGAATTCAATGCTCCCCTCCCTCCCCGCTGCCCAAGCCCTCGCCAGATGCTTCCTCCATCCCTTCTCCTTCAGTGCCGAAAGAAAACTCGCTGTGCCTGGAAAATGTTACCGGAGGGATTGGACCTTCTCCCCATAGGGACCATGGCATCCTGAAGGCACACCCTGCACCACGGGGTTAATCATTCGCTGTCTTCAAGGGTGCCCCAGGGCCAGGGGGGGACTTTCACCTTCTCAGTGACCTCTTGGAATTTCGACCTTCTTTTATGAGTGCCATAAAGGTTATTTTTTAATCTGTGTCCCAGTGGGGTTTCCCCCTCTCTGCTGTGGGGTCTTTGGTCTGGGGAGCACTTGGGCATCGCTGTTCTTTGTGTCTCATCTGGTTTGGGAAGTGGAAAGGCTCACAGGACGCCCTTTTCCCAAGGGAAGAGGATGGTGGTACCCGACATCTCATCAAAGGAGCCTGGTGGTGGTTGACCCCACAGAGGCAGCAGAGCAGAGGGTGCTGCTGGCAGGGATGTGAAAGGCTGTGGGTCATTAGAAACCTCCTCCACTGGCTTTTGCCACTCTGGGAGCCCAGAGAAGCATCTCAAATGCCCAGGTGCTGCCAGAGAAAAATTTCCAGGTGGAAAAAGAGCATGTGTCCAAGAACATCCCACTGAGCCTGTAACTGCCTATCCCCCACTGACCAAGATAAGAGCTATGTCATCCCCCGAAACATCCCATCACCAAACACTGAGCCCAGTCCTGAGCTGCCACTTCCCTATGTGCCCTCCTGGAATCTGCTGACCCAGCACACAGAGTCCAGTGGAGGCATCCTGACCTTCCAGTGCCCTGCACCTCTACTCCTTGCCAGAGATGATCCAGGGCATTTACAACCCAAAACTCCTAATGTGTTTCTTGTCCTCTCCAGCAGATCTGGCAGCACTGGGATGCTCAAGGACACATCCCTCCAGCATCTTTCTCCTCCTCTCAGGAGGCACTGTGCCATAACCTTGAAGTCTTCCAAGCACTCTGTTTCTTAAAAGACCTGTTCCATGGCTTTTTCTTTTAGCATTTTATTTAACACCACCTTAAAAAAGCCCAAACCAGAGCGGGAAGGGGCAGGCTGAGATGCTGTGGGCAGAAGGAGGGGGGTCACCAGGCAACACCCAATGTGCCAGGAGATACACTGTTCTCTGGCACACCAAGCCAGAGCAAAAACATTTCCTCAGCTCTGTGAGAACAGCCTGGCTCCTCCGTCTCAGGAGCACGACCTGCTCCAAGCATCTCCCTGGGGTTGTGTCTCACCCACCATCAACCAAAGAGGTTTCACTGTGCCAAGCTGTCCCCTTGAAAACCCCCTGGATGGGCTGATGTGGCATACGAAGGGCACAGGTGAGAGGTCAGAAGCTGAAATCCCTTTCTTTGCCTTTTGTACCCCAGCAAGTGATGGGGAAGGCTCTGCCTGCATCCCTTTGGTCCTCATCCCCACTGCCTGGTGGAGGTGAGAGCCATCAGCAGCCAGAGGAGGTGGGTTGGGCTGTGTCCCTGTGCAGGCAGAAGCAGGAGCAATGGGAGCATCCTGCCGATTCACCCATCCCATCCCATCCCATCCCATCCCACCCCATCCCATCCCATCCCATCCCACCCCATCCCATCCCACCCCAGCCACCCTGAGGACACCAGAGAGAGCCATATGGCACTGCGGGGACCCCAGCCCCACATTTCCTTGGGTGAGGATGCTCCCACGGGAGCATCCACTGCCGTTAGCATCACCAGCCATGCAGCAGGGATGTATCAGGGGCGGACAAAGCACCCTGTCTCCCATCCCAAAACCCTCACTGCTCCCACCACCCCTCTGTTGGGTGCAACACAACCCCTCCTCACCCGCCAAAGGCATTGCCTTCAAAGCACCACCTCCTCCTATACATCGCCCCCATTTCCAGCATCTCTGGGTTGAAAAATGGCCGGGGATGGTTTGGCAGAGGAGCCTCGCGCAGATTATTCAACAATTGTTTCCCATTTTGCGCCCTCGCCTGCCTCATCCTCCAGTAACAATGACGAAGAGCGGCGCGGAGCCAGCGCCCGCGGCAGGGGTGTTGAGATCAGGGACAGCACAAAAATATCTCCTCTCTGGAACAAATATTTACCAACCCTTCTGCCTTTTGTTCTTGTGGTTCTCATATATTTTTTCTTTAATTTTTTTTTTTTTCCAGACATTCACTGGCAAAATGTCACACTAAGCAGCAACCCAGAAACTTCGGGGTAGCTGCTTGGCTGCTCTGGGCTTTGTTTTTCTCGCGCGCTAATTGTTAATGAATTTCCAGCCATTTAAGCCAACGCAAACCTGTGAGAAAATGATCTTTTCAGCCCTGATTCTGGAGCTTCATGGCACTTCCCAAAATCCAAGCAGTTGCCGGGGAAAACGTGCATCATTCCGCAGAAGGGGGTGGTGGCAGTGCCAGAGTCAACGTGGAGTGGGATGTGGCAGAGCTGGACTGGGAGCTGAGGTTTGTGTGAGCTGCCAGCATCACTCCTGGGTTCCAGCAGTGAAGTCTCCACTCCTGGAAGGGGGTAGGTTATATGGGGTGAGTGCCACAGTACCCCCATCCCTGGCCAGCTCCTCACCAATCATCCTTCTCCCTTCTCTGCCCCATGGCAGGTTTTTCTTGTTTCCCTTCAAAATCATAATGTCCACTTTTATGGTGGCCAAACAAAAGCACGTGGCTAATTTATGGGTGTTGTATTTAAAGAAGAAAGGAACAAAACCCTCCTCTTCTGCAACATAAACTCAGATCTTCCATTAAAAATTAACCGTGGCCATAAAACCCCCGATGTAGGAGCAAGCAGAGCTCACCCTGTGAGCACTGCTGGGCTGCTGCCCCAAGACAGCACCCTGCCAGTCACCATCCCCTCCTGTCCACTCCAGGATGGCCATACTGCCCTTCACCCAGCCCCGTTACCTCCTGCCCCTCTTCCTGGGGTTTTTCCAGGGCGCCCTGCTCCTCTTCTTTGCTCTCTTCGTCACCTTTGATGAGCCCTCAGCGCAGGCAGAGGATGCCAACTTGGTGGCCTACCAGATCTACAGCACCTTTCCCTTCTTCCAGGACATCCAGGTGATGCTGGTGGTGGGGTTGGGGCTCCTGCTGACCTTCCTGCCCCGCTACGGGCTCAGCGCCCTCACCCACAACTTCCTCCTGCTCAACTTCTCCATGCAATGGGCGCTAGTGCTGCAGGGTTTGATCCACCACTTCCACCACGGCCAGGTCCACCTGGATCTCCACAAACTCCTCATCTCTGAGTTCGCTGCCGTGACTGTGCTCATCTCCGTGGGGGCCATCCTGGGGAGGAGCAGCCCCTGCCAGCTGCTCGCCGTGGCCACCTGTGAGGTCCCCGCCTACCTTGCCAGTGAGTGGGTCATTGTCAACTGTCTGGGCGTCCTGGATGTGGGTGGCACCATCACGATCCACGTCTTCTCCTGCTACTTCGGCCTCGGCGTGTCCAAGGCTCTGTTCTGGGCAGGGCAGAAGCCACTGCACCCCAAGGAGACCCCAACGCCCCGCTCCGACCTCATGTCCCTGGTGGGGATGCTCATCCTCTGGGTTTTCTGGCCCAGCTTTGTGGCTGTCCTCTGCCAACCAGGCGATTCCCAGCACCGTGCCATCCTGAACACCCTCCTGGCCATGAGTGCTGGCGCCATAACCACCGTGGTGGCCTCCAGCCTGCTGGAGAGGGATGGCAAGCTCAGCCCCAGCCACCTGCAGAATGGCAGCCTGGCCGGCGGGGTGGCCATCGGCGCGGTGGCCAACATGGCCATGCCACCGGTGGCTGCTCTTGCCCTGGGCAGCCTCTCAGCTGTGACATGTGTCCTCGGCTTCAGGTTCCTCACCCCACTCCTGGGAAGGAAGCTCGCGCTCCAGGACCAGTGTGGCATCCACAACCTCCACGGCTTGCCCGGCATCCTCGGTGCTGCAGCCAGCGCCGTGGCCATCCTGGTGGCACCCAAGGACACCTCCAGGTCCTACGTCTCCCAGCTGTCCCCCTCTGGGGGCAATGCCAGTGAGGTGGTGGGAGAACAGCAGGGGGACGGTGGGGTGAGCAGACAGGCGCTGTGCCAGGCAGCAGGGCTGGCGGTGGCCATCGGGGCCTCACTTGTCGCTGGGCTGCTCACCGGTGCCACGCTCCGGCTGCCCTGCCTGGCCCGGCCACCCGAGCGGCTCTGCTTCGATGACTCACTGTATTTTAAGTTCCAGGATCAGGATGAGAGCCTGGGCGCAGGCAGCACGACTGAGGAAGGAGCCCTGGCTCTGAAGGAGCATGTTTAGGCACTGCTGAGTGTGCAGCTGCAGGGAGGGCCAGGGAATATCACCAGCCCAGATCAGCTGGCAGGAGATGTTGCCTGTTCTTGCTCCTGCCCTGTGCCTGGCTCCAGCCACCAAGGACTCTGGCATAGCTGGGTCAGCATCACAGCACTGGTCCCTCTTCCATCCTCCCACCCTGCAGCTGCGAACCCCCTCCTCTGCTCCAGTCACCCCCAGGACCCACCCATCCCAGGCAGCAGCCAGAGAAACAACCTGCTAAGGGTGTCTCCCCTGGGATGGCTAATAACCTACAACTAATCCAGACGGCCCTGCTGCAGGACACTGACACCAGTTGCTTCACTCTTGGCAGGTAGCATCACCTACAGTGCCCACCCTGACCCTCAGCTCCAACTCTCACTCTGGACTCTCCTGTCTACTGCAGCCAACACCTGGAGAGGGCTTCCAGCTCAAGCCATGGCTCCAGGTCAGGAACTCAGCATCCCATGCCTGGAGGGTGGAACTGCAGCAGCGGGATACAGGGAGATGGGATGAGCTGGCCACAAGCAAAGGATTTAAAAGGGATTTGATAACCTGCACTGGGCAATTCACTCTCCAGGAGAGTTTGCAAAGGGAGGCACAGCTTTCTTTACCACTGCTGCTGTGATGACGACGCAGCCCAAGCATGGCAAGGAGCCTCAGAGAGAGCCAGGATGCAGGAGGCACCCGCAGCCCACAGGACCCTCATCCCACCCCAAAGCAGGAGATGGGAAAGCTGCGCCAGCATCCCAGGAAGAGCCCCATCCCATCCCACCACGGGCAGTGAGCCGCTTCCACCCTGTGGAGGACAAAGCCTGCAGTCCATGGCTGGCATGAGGCGAGCTGGGAGCGCGGAGCCGCATCCTGCCTGGAGAGCGAGGGCTGTGATTCACATCCCCCCTGCCATGAATCACTGCTGCCCCTGCGCCCCCACGGACCCCGCTGCTGCTGAGACAATGCAGGCGATGTTCAGGGGCTCACAAGGGGGTCGAGGCCACCAAGGCCCCCAGCACTGTCTGCAGGAGCAGGGGAGCTGTCAGCGCGGTTGGGGGTCCCCAACCCTGAGCGGGTGGGAGAGGGGCTGGATCCCCTCCGCCTGGTGCAGCCCCAGGCAGAGCCAACACCAAGAGGGAGCGAGGCTGGGGAATTCACCCTCCAATAATCACAAACAGGCTTGGGGGGCCGGGCGTGTTTGGTTAATTGTTAGAATAAAATATTGCCGAGCTCTGACAAAGAAATCCTGCCCCGCAGCCCGGCGCGGCCGAACAATGGGCCCCGGCGCAGGATGCTGCGGGCTGAGCAGTGGGGCCAGGGGCCATGAGGGAAGGAGGCAGCTTGGTCCCCCCAGCTCCCAGCCAAGCCCCAGCAGGCTCCCAGCTTCTTGGCAACTCGGTGTGGATGTGCCCCACGATGATGTTGGGAGCCATCGCGCGCCCACTCGGAGCAGGGACCGGCCGGGCCCCTCGCCACTGCCCGGCTCCCGCTGTGTGTCAAGAGCCTCCAGAGCCAGAACCCGCCCGGGGAGCTGTGATACCATCGGTGCTGGATCGGCCGCATCCAGTCTCCAGGAGAGCTGGTGCTCCCGCTGAGCCCGGCATCCCGGTCCCGCTGGCTGCCCCCATGCCGAGGCCTGCTGGCTCCAATGCTGGCTCTGGCTCCAGCACGGGGAAGAGGGGGCACAGGGTCAGCAGCACCAGGGGCTGCAGCCACCCTGTTGGGAACCAGCTGTAGAGGGGGATCACATGCACCCACCCTTGCACATGCATGCACACACGTGGAACTGCATGCACCCACCCACCCCACACATACACACGTGTGCAGACACTACTGCACACACATGTACATGTGTGTACACATAACCACATGCATGTGCCCAGACACACATGCACACACATACATACACACACATGCACAGACATCCCAGCACTCACAAACACATGCACACGCAGCCTCAAAGCTGCAAACCTCTTGCTGTCAGAGGTAGTGGAGCAGGCAGAGCCGCTTTCCAGCATCTCCCAGCCCTTCCCAGCGAGGAAGAGGACGCAGGCTCCCGCCGAGCAGCCCGCGGCACCCGGCAGGGGAGCGGGCAATGGGGGCGCGGGGAGGGAGCACACCCGGAGCTGGGCCTGGGCGCACCCCGCCTCCCGGCTGGCATGTCCTGGCACGGGCACCCCGGCACGCCGCGGCACAATCTGGTCGGCAGATGCTTCAAAGCCAGCAACAGGCCCAAGAAATGATAGGGGGGTCAGCACTTTCCCGCTGCCCGGAGGGGCTCAGGCACTCGGTGACCTACGGTTGGGAGTGCTGGGACCCACCTGGGTCGTGGCACGGCTCCATCAGCCCCACTCCCGGCCATCCCTGCCCCCCAGGACCCGCTGTTCCGCCTCTGGGTGTGCTGCCCGGCGCTCCCTGCTCCTCCAAACCAACCGCCCTCCAAAGGATGGAGCAGTCAGATATTCCGCAGAGCCTCCAGCGTTTATCACACTGTAAATCTGGGCTTTCAGCAGCTTCACAATGCTGCAGGGAGATGGGAGAGAACAAAACGCTGCTCTGCTCTGTCAGACACAGCCTGCGTGTGCCAGTGCCCCCAGCGCCGGGGCTGCCAGGGGATGGGCCCCCAGCCCCTCTGACAGGGGGGTGAGGACTGAAGCAGGGGCTATATGTGGGCAAGGGCCCCCCGGACACCAGCCGGGGGGCTGCTGGCACCCCGAGATGGGGATAGCTTGGGTCAGCTGCACTTCGGTGGGACAGCGGTGGTGTGGGGGGCAAAATGTGCCTGTGTGGAACTTCAGCAGCCACTGTCCCTCTGCATGGTCCCCAGGCATGGTGACCCTGTGTGGCCCCCTGGCAGAGCTCCCCAGGCACAGTCCCTGGGCACTATACCCCCATGTGGTCCCAAACCATGGTCCCTGGGCACAGTACCCCACTATGATCCCCCAGCACTGTCCTGCAGAACAGTGCCCCAGCCCACTGGGTTCTGCTGCTGCCTCCGAGCTCAGCCCAAAGCCGGGTTGGGATGCAACCCACTGGTGCTGGCAAGAAGTGCCAGCCCCCATCCTTGTCCCCATCCCTGTCCCCACAGCCTCCCCCCTCCAACCCCCATCTCCCAGCGGGACCCTGCCATGATTGCAAAACAAGCAGGGAAGGGAGGGAGCCGAGATCGCGCTGCTCACACAGCGCTTGGATGCATCTGGCAAGGCAACCCGCTGGTGGCACAGGGCACGAGGAGAGGGCGTGGGCACGGCCAGCGAGCCCCCCCCCGACCCTGTGCGTCCCCCTCAGCTCTAACATGTGTGTGCACCTTTTCTACATCCCTGCAGCCCCCGGGCCGGGCGGGCTCGCACAAGGCACACAGGGACCACGGGCAAGGAGGGGGCTGGCAGGGCGCCCAGCGGCTGCCAAGGGGCTGGCACAGCACAGGAGGGTGGGGGGGCCGTGGCGGCAGCTGGAGCCACATCAGAGCGGCCCCCCCGGAGCAGCCGGGAGCGTGCGGTGCTGCCCTCGAAGGAAATGCGCTCACTCCCATGTGCTGCACACTTGGGTTCGCCTCACTGCTATTTTTATTTGACTTTTCAGGGCCTGTTTCCTTTTTCCGGCTGTTTTTGCTGTGATTCCACCATTGCTTTGACCTCGCTTTTTCCCCTCCCTCCCTGTTGCTTCTTCCTTCACTCTTTCCTTCCTTTCCATGCACTCATTCCTGCTGCTGCACCGGGTTCCCGGTTCAGCAGCAGTTGCCTGGGAGGGAAGGGTAGTGAACAGAGGCAGTTACTGCTGTGGTTTATCTGGGAAGGTGCTGACAGGTCACTGGAGGGGGGACTTTGCTCCAGCCTTGATAAAGAAAAAGGCTGTGAGTCACCCTATCCAAAGTCACCGTCCCAATCCTGTTGGTGCTTGAGCTACGTGGTCCTGGTGGGGCCCCCAGCCCCATCCATTGGATATCAAGCATCAATAGGACTATTTTGAGAGAATAAGGGGATGTGGAGGGAGGGTGGTTGGGATAACGGAGGGGGAATAAGAAAGAAATTCAGAATCTAAGCCAGTGCAAAACCTCCTGTGGAGGCAGCAAAAAGGGCAGTGCTCTCTCCCAAGGAAGAGGATGGAGCCGGGAGGAAGGAGCCCAGGCATGATGGGACCAGCCAGGGAGGAGCATGGCACTGGGAGGTCTCTGGCATTGGGATGTGCTGAACTGCAGCTCCATCGGTCCCTGGTGCCAGCCTGCCCCAAGCTGGGCAGATGTCACCCCCTAGGGCCCACGTGCCCTGGAGAGACCCCATAAAGCATCATTCAGAAGTTGCAGCCCCCTGCTCTCACCCCCAAACCAGGGTCCCTGTTCTGCCCCATCAAATCAAGGGGTCCTGCCTGCACCCCACTACACCCTGGCAATTCTGGTGTGCTCAGGGTGGGGAGGGGCCCTCTCTCACCCACCCTGGCACTTCAGCCCCTCCAACTCTTTCTAGCCCAGAGGGAGAGAGGGTGGGCAAGGACCATTGAGAATCCCCTGCCCTCCCCTCCCTAAATCCCTCTCCCCAGTCGGATGTTTGAACCTCACCCAGACTACCCCAGAGAAACGTGCCCCTCTATTCCCTCCAAGGCACATGGGTGGGTGTCCCACTCACCAGCAGCACCCCATTGCTCCCCCCCGGCCACAGCCCTGCCCAGACCGGGGATGGTGACAGAGGCTCTGCTGGGAAAAGAACGGGCAATGCTGGCGTGGCCGTGGGGACACACGGTGTGGGCAGCGCCCGGCTCCGCTCAGCACACACAGCCCACTGCTGCCACCTCGTGTCCTCCAGAGCCGGGCTGGCCCCACTCAGGGCTGGGACAGCATCCACCCGGCTGGAGAGGCACAGGGGCGCACTGTGGGCCCTCCCAGCCGCTGCTCCAGAGGAGAAATGGTCTCCCAGGAAAGCAGCTCCTGTCCTCCATCACCCACACACCAACAGAAGCCCATGGGCCAGGGATGCAGGCACAGAGGGCAGAGGCAAGAT